ACTGTTGTTTAACATAGTGCTGGAAGTCCTAGCATCAGCCGTCAGACAACAAAAGGAAATAAAAGGCATCAGAATTGGCAAAGAAGTCAAACTATCACTTTTTGCGGATGACATGATACTCTACATAGAAAACCCAACAAACTCCACCAGAGGCCTGCTAGAACTGATCCATGAATTCAGCAAAGTTGCAGAGTACAAAATCAACGTACAGAAATCGGTTGCATTTTTATACACCAATAATGAAGCAACAGGAAGAGAAATCAAGAAACTGATCCCATTCAGAATTGCACAAAAAAACATAAAATACCTAGGAATAAACATAACCAAAGATACAAGAGATCTATATGATAAAAACTATAGAAAACTTATGAAGGAAATTGAAGAAGGCACAAAGAAATGGAACAACATTCCATGGTCATGGATCAGAAGAATAAATATCGTTAAAATGTCATTACTACCCAAAGCAATCTACACATTTAGTGCAATCCCAATAAAAACTGCACCAGCATTCTTCTCAAAGCTAGAACAAACAATTCTAAAATTTGTATGGAACCACAAAAGACCCTAATAGCCTAAGTAATATTGAAGAAGAAAACCAAAACGAGAAGCATCACCATCCCAGACATTAGCCTTTACTACAAAGCTGTAACCATCAAGATAGTATGGTATTGACACAAAAACAGACACATAGACCAATGGAGTAGAATAGAGAACTCAGAATAGGACCCACAAATGTATGGCCAACTAATTTTTGACAAAGTGGGAAAGAGGATCCAATGGAAAAAAAGACAGCCCCTTTAACAGATGGTGCTGGGAGAACTGGACAGCAACATTCAGAAGAATGAAACTAGATCACTTTCTTACACCATACACAAAAATGAACTCAAAATGGATGGACCTGACTGTGAGACAGGAAACCATCAAAACCCTAAAGAAGAAGGCAGGAAACAACTTCCTTGACCTCAACCGCAGCAATTTCTTTCTTGACACATCCCCCAAGGCAAGGGAATCAAGAGCAAAAATGAACTATTGGGACTTCATCAAGATAAAAAACTTCTGCACGGCAAAGGAAACAACCAATAAAACTAAGAGGCAACTGACAAAATGGGAAAAGATAGTTGCAAATGACGTATCAGATAAAGGGCTAGTATCCAAAATCTATAAGGAACTCACCAAACTCCACACCCGAGAAACAAATAATTCAGTGAAGAAATGGGCAGCAGACATGAACAGACACTTCTCCAAACAGGACATCCAAATGGCCAACAGACACATGAAATGATGCTCAGCGTCCCTCATCCTCATGGAAATGCAGATCAAAACCACACTGAGATACCACCTCACACCAGTCAGAGTGGCTAGAATGAGCAAATCAGAGAACTCTAGATGCTGGCGAGGATGTGGAGAAACAGGCACCCTCCTACACTGTTGGTGGGAATGTAAACTGGTACAGTCCCTCTGGAAAACATTGTGGATGTTCCTCAAAGAATTAACAATAGAACTCCCCTATGACCCAGCAATAGCACTGCTAGGAATTTACCCAAGGGATACAGGAGTGCTGATGCATAGGAACACATGTACCCCAATGTTCATAGCAGCACTTTCAACAATAACCAAATCATGGAAAGAGCCTAAGTGTCCATCAACTGATGAATGGATCAAGAAGATGTGGTTTATCTATACAATGGAATACTACATGTCAATGAGAAAGAATGAAATCTTGCCATTTGTAGCAACGTGGATGGAACTTGAGGGTGTTATGCTGAGTAAATTAAGTCAGGCAAAGAAGGACAGATACCATATGTTTTCACTTATAGGTGGATTAGGAGAAACTTAACAGAGGACCATGGGGGAGAAGAAGGGGGAAAATAGTTGGGGAGAAGAGGGAAGGAGGCAAACCATGAGAGACTCTTGAATACTGAGAACAAACTGAGGGCTGATGGGGATGGGGAAGAAGGAATGGGGGCTGATGGGCATGGAGGAGGGCACTTGTTGGGATGAGCACTGTGTGTTATATGGAAACCAACTTGACAGTAAACTATGAAAGAAAAAAAGAATGAGAAATAAAAGGTATACAGATGGAAAAGGAAAAAAATTAAATATAAATTACGGAGGCTTTAGTAAAAATAGGGTGGTTATTTTTATTTCTGTAACTTACAGGCTTATTTGCTAAGGCAAGAATAGGCTTTGTTGATGGGGAATCCAGGCAGAACTGGTTGTTAGAGAATTTTGGAGGGAGTTTGGTTTTATGGAGTGTGAAAGAACTGAAAGAACATTGACTTTTCAGTCAGATGATTTACATTTAAATCCCACCTGTGTCTCACTGATTTGTCCTTAAGTCACTAAAGGTCTCTGGACCTCATATTCAAAAAAGGAATAATTGTATGTCATTTTTGGAAAAATATCTATTTACGTCCTCTGCTTATTTTTTAATCATATTATTTGGTTTTTGGTGTTGGGTTGTATTACGATATATTTTGGATATTCCTTATCGGATATATCATTTGTAAGAGACCCATGAAAACATGCTAAATATCACTAGTCAGAGAAATTCAAAACCACAATATCACCTTACACCTGTCAGAATAGTTAAAATAAAAAACATAAGAAATAACAAATGTTGATGAAGAGAAAAAGGAACCCTTATTCACTGTTGGTAGGAATGCAATTTGGTGCAGTCTCTGGGGAAAACAGTATGGAGGTCCCTTAAAAATTAAAAATAGAATTACCATATGATCCAGTAATTCCAGTACTAGGTATTTACCCAAAGAAAATGAAAACACTAATTCAAAAAGATATATGTACTCCTATGTTTATTGCAGCATTACTTATGATAGCCAAGATATGGAAGCAAACAAAGTGTTTGTTGTTAAATGAATGGATAAAGAAGATGTGGCATATATACACAACCAAATATTACTCAGCTGTAAAAATAATGGGATCTTGCTGTTTGCAAAAACACGGATGTATGTAGGGAATATAATGCTAATAAGTGAAATAACTCAGAGAAAGACAGATACCATATGATTTCACTCATACATGGTATTTAAGAAACAAAACACATGAACAAAGAGAAAAAAGAGAGAAACGAAAATCAGACTCTTAAATACAGAATACAGACTGGTTACCAGAGAGGCAGAGTGTGTGTTGGGTGGGTGAGGGGTAAAATAGATTAAGGAGATAAAGAGTACACTTATTTTATAAGCATTGAGTAATGTATACATTTGTTGAATTGTTATACACCTGAAACTAAAATAACACTGTATAGTAATTATTCTCCAATAAAGAAAATGGGAGAAAAAGGGGAATTGCATTTTGTGGTCTTTCAGGTCATTACCAGTCTCAACAATCTGTGGGTTCTGAAAGATCACAAATTGTCACACTTGCCTTTAATCGTGAGAAACCCCCAGTGAATAATAGAACTTAATCTGTTTTACCAATGTTGCTCTTCACCCAAAGTAATAAATAGATCCTGATGTTATTGAAGGAATGAATAGATGAAAGGAGATGCGATTTGTTTTTCCAATTGAAGTTGTTTTAATAAAAGTTGTTATACAGTGGACTTAATGGACTTAAAGGAAATGAGATAAGATATGAAAGAAACTAGATTGTGCACAAGTGTTAGCTTTAATAAAATTTGGGAACGTAAACCATTATACTACTAATTTCTGGCACTTATTTCCCTGGTGAATATGGGAAAAGGGTGTGAAAATATTTTAGAACCCTGTAAATTTTTGGAAGATTAATAACTTAAGGTGAATAAGAGTCTGGAGTTTACTTTTTAGGTAACTATTTGTGTACACTTGTTATTTGTAATTGATCTGATATATTAACTTTGAATATATGATATGAAATTTAAAGATCATATATTTCAGGTGGAAAGGGAAAAAATTAGTACATAAAAATCTGAGTCTCAGCCTTCACAAATTGAGATTTACTGGAATCATGTACTATAATATGTATTCAATTAACATATTGTGTCAATCCTAAAATGACATCATTGGTACGGCATACCTTTATTATAGGCAATTTTGAGAAAGAAAATATGTTACAAGTTCAATTATGACATAATAAATGCCTTAACAGTAGTCTAGGCTTGAGGTATGGATCGGTCTCACTAGTGCCCATATCTCTTTCCAAGTCTCTGGTGATTTTGGTAGGTTCCTATGGCTTTGACTGCATTTCTTGAGTACGTGATAAGCAATTTCTTTGCAAGTCAGTAACAAAACAGCTTTAATTACTTTTAGATACCTTCTTTTCTTTTCTTTTTTTTTTTTTTTAGTTTATTTATTTTAATAGAGAGATCATGCATGCAAGGTGGGGTAGGGGCAGAGAGAGAGAGAGAGAGAGAGGAGGAGAGAGGAAATCCCAAGTAGGCTTCACACTGACCTGAGCTAAAGTTGCTAACCCAACTGAGCCACCCAGGCACCTCAGGTATCTTTTCTAATTCACATGAAACATTTGGATATAGCTTAAGAAATAAGAAATTGAAGCCATCCCTCCAGTGATGAATATTTGCTTCACTGATTTTCAAATTCAAATTTTAAAATTTTAAATTAAACCCTGAGATTCTGTTCCTTTGTCTTTGCAGATACTCAGTAACTTTTTTCAATGCCAGATTATAATGTAACATTTTTAAGGTGTTTTAATTATCATTTAAACTCAGCACATAGTTGCAACATGTATAGTGTTGAAATGACAGATATGAATAGTTTTGACCAAGTCTGCACATGTGCAGGCAATAAAAGCTATGTCATTACTGCTACCTGGCTGGCTGCAGTTTATAGGATACCATCATATGCAAAAGCAAACAAACAAAAGTTTCAAAACTCTTGACTTCAGTGGTATGAAAGCTTGTAAAAATGTGAATCTTAGAATTGAGGAAGTGAATTCTTACCTGAGTTGGTGGTAGTCTTAACTACAACCTGGAACTGCTGGTTCTGTTATTATTTTTTTTAATGCCGCAAAGTCTCTGAAGATCCGTAATCTTTTTTCTTTAGCTTAAAACCAGAGATAGATACATCAGTAGTCTGAAAAAGAAATGTCAGAAGGAATCCGAACAAAACAAAGAAAAGCAAAGAAGAATTGAGACCTTGGAAAAGTATTTGGCTGATCTTCCAACTCTAGATGATGTACAGAGTCAGAGTCTTCAGGTAACATGAAATAAAATGTTCATCTTTAAATGACTTGAAAATATACTACTTTCTTAGGTTGACTCTTTAGAAATTTCATAATTTTTATAATTTTGGTTCTGTATTTGACTAATTATGTTAAATATGTGTTTAATTGCTGTTGTTAGCATTAACTTTAATATGAAACTTTAAGCATGAGCATATCTTTTTTGTTGTTAATTAACATATGGTTACCTTCCTAAGAAAACTGTATGTTAACTCTCTTACTTAACATTTTACTCTAGAAGTAGTTTTTGAACCAGTCAGACAGCCCCATCCCATACATACATGCATGCACCATATGTTCTTTGGCTTTACCCAGTATTCTCTCGCTCAGCCAATGCTCAAGACATTTTTTACTATCTTTCCAGGCATTTGATTTGTTTTCCTCATTCTTCTTAACCTTTCCATAAATTCTTCCACCTTTGTCTGTGGTCTTCATTCACTCCTCTGACCTCTTCTGACCATTTTTCTTTTTTACAAGTACTTTATCCAGAGTCTTTCTACCAACACTGGTGAAGCCTGTCTTCTCAATCTGTTAAATCTACTCTTCAGTCTTTCTCAGTTTTTCTAATCATGGAATCCTCAACTTCAGTGCTATTGATATTCAAGGGTAGATAAATTTTTGTTCTAAGATTTTGTCCTGTGCATTAAAGTATGCTTAATGGCATTTCTGGCTTCTACCTACTGGATGCCAAGAGTACTGCTCCTTCTCTCTTCCCTCCCCGAAACCAAAAATGTCTGCAAAGATTTCCAAATATCTCCTTGGGGGAGAAATCACTCTCAGTTGAGAATCATTGGTTTAATCCATGGAGGGTTATTATTTTACAGACTCTAGACCTACAAGGGATTCTCTGTATAAGACTAAGAGAGGATAATGTCAGGATGGAACTGAAGAAGTACCACAGGAGTTTGCATCAGCAGGAACAGAGGGGAATATAGATGTAAAAGCACATGTTTGTGCCATTTGACACCAGTAGGTTGGCTCATATAAGAAAAAGAAAGAAAATAACAAGTATTGGTGAGAATGCAAGGAAATTAGAATCCTTGTGCACTGTTGATGGGAATATAAAATGGTGTAGCCACTATGGAAAACCATATGATATGTTTCATCAAACACTAACCATCAGTTCCCCTTCTAGATATATATCCAAAAGAATTGAAAGCAGAGTCACAAACAGATATTTGTACATACATATGTTCATAATAACATTATTTGCAATAGCCAAAAGATGGAAGCAACCCAATCACTGATGGATGAATGGATAAAATGTCACGTATAATTCATGTATAAAAAAATGGAATTCTGAAACATGGATAAACCAAAGGACATTGTGTTAAGTGAAATAAGCCAAACATAAAAAGATAAATACAGAATGAGTACCTAAAATAGTCAAATTCATAGGAACAGAAAGTCAAAGTGGTTGCTGGAGATTGAGAGCAGATCTGAAAGGGAAGTTGTTAATGAGTATAGAGCTTGTTTTGCAAGATGAAAAGAGTTCTGGTGATTAGTTGTACAAAAGTTTGAATGTACTAATACTATTGTATATTTAAACATGGTTAAGATGATAAATTTGTGTTCTGCGTAAAATATAGTGTTATTTTAACCAGAAGCTTGTTACTAATTGACAACACAGTTACAGTTTCTAGCAGAAACACATTTAATATTCTATGTGTTATAAACTTTAAGACTTGCTCCTTAGCTTCAGATTCTAGAAGAAAAAAATAAGAATTTGCAAGAGACTCTGCTGGATGTGGAAAAAAAGCTTGAAGATATCAAAAAACAGTGTCAAGAAAAAGAGGCACAGATAATATGCCAGAAAAAGAAAGAAAAGGAGTTGGTAACTACAGTTCAGAGGTAAGAAAACCTTTAATAATTTTTTATTATTTAATATTATTATTAATATTTATATTAATATTAATATAAATTTATATTATTATAAATAATATAATAACATATTATAAATAACAATATAAATATAATATTTATATTATTAATATTTATTATTTAATATAATTAGTATTTATTATTTAATAATTTTATTCATATTTTTCATAAGGCATTTCACTTAAATACATTAATTTATAATTATTACTATATTGTTATCTTAAAGATGAACTCTTAGGAACTGTATTATGTCATTGAAACAAGTTATCTTGGCTGTGATTTCACATTTTAATGCAGCATTAAATTTGACATCTTGCCAAAGGCTTTAGATGAGAATAGTGAAAATCTACTTCCCTCCCTGCCCAAAAAAAAAAACAAAAAACAAAAAGCCCAATTGGAAACTGAAAGTATTAACACAGTCTGATGGCTTTGCCAAAAAGTAAGTAAACAAAGAGAGACAGTCAAATACTCAGATTTTACTCCTTAATGAGATATATCAAAGTGAAATCATTGACTCCCATTTTCCTGTAGAACAGCAGGTATGGCCATTTTGTCATGTATCTTCCAAGTTTACTCATATACCTTGGCTCATGGGACTCTCCTCTTTTAAATTAATACAATCAGAAAGACAAGGAATATCATTTATTAGTATATTTAGCTAATATATTTAATCTGAAAAATTAATACTGGATTCCTGAAAAACCTATAGAGCTATGTTATATATGCAACTACATGCACTCTCTGTTTTATAAAACTTAAACCTTAATAGATGATCAACTATAAATAGATAAAACTATATGAAAGAATAAGACAACAAAGCAACAAAAACTAAATTTAAGAAATACACTCTTTGTGTTTTACCAATTATATGTAACTCTAATCAAAATCCATCTGATAGTTCCATGTTAATATTGCCTTACTACTTTCAAAGCCTTAAATATGCCTAGTCTACTTTTTTCTTAGATATCAGTGCAGAAAACATCTGATTATGGTCTTCAATGTTTCTAATCTCTGCTTCAAAAAATTCGTATATTGTTTAATGTTTATTTATTTTGAGAAAGAGAGTGAGTGGAGAAGAGGCAAAGAGAGAGGGAGAGAGAATCCCAGGCAGGCTCCACACTGTCAGTAGAGTCCATGCAGGACTTGATCTCATAAATCATGAGATCATGACCTGAGCTGAAATCAAGAGTCCATAACTTAACTGCCTGAGCCACCCAAAGTTCATATACTTTTAAGTTTACATTTATTTTCCCCTTAGTTTTTGCTTTCTTGCTGTTTAATTTCCCTTTCTATAACTCCACATCTTATAGTCTGTTCTCTAGTCTCAAAACAGCTTCCTGACCTCCACTGATTCAACCATATGTTCTTTTTCTTTCATCTTAGATAAAATGAAAAGAGGTTTTATAGGGCATGTAGATCACAAACACAAGCTATGCCATTTTATGAATAAAATTAGAAAAACTTGAAAATAATTTGTTTTGTTCCATGTGTGCTTTTACATATTTAATATGATAGTATACCTTCTCTTTTATTTAGATTTTCTCTTTTATTAGGTTTTTGGAGAACATTGAGCCTAGTCTCATTGATCAGAAAGACTTAGTGCAGTGCATTTCAGAATCCATGTTTCATTTTTTTATGGATACTCTCTGAGATGATAGCATCCCGGAAATTTTCTCTTAATTTCAAGTAGATAGAAAGGACCAAATAAGGTCTTCTGTAATTCTTAAGTACTTGTATATCCATGGTGTCACTTGACTTTGGAGGTAGGGGTGTTCGTTTCCTCAGCTATATGTTAAACTAAAGTTCTTGTTTCCACAAGAATTTCAAATGTGTGACTATGAATTATATCATTACATTTATCTGTGCCTATGTAATATCTCCAAGTTTTCCATGTATGAATATTTGAGAACTTTTGGTATTTAAAAATCTGATAAAAAATTTTCATTAGAAGTGAACTATAGCTTTTATATATAAATATAGTGAAGTAATGCAATTTATTTTTCTCAGAATATTATAACTGCATACAAGCAGTGTCTTGACACTTATTTGTAGGGAGAAAACTCATTCTGAAATAAAAATAATACATTTTTCACTTTTAGACTGAAAAAGCAAATAGTTTTATTACAAGCAACAATGTATTACAAAGCAGTGCACTGCATTCATAATACATAAAAACTTGTCTGGTGCCATTATTTATTAACATATTGAAACATATTGGAAGCCCTTATTGCACCATGTAGGACTGTCAATTCTTTGTCCAGAATCTAGGTATGGCATTTTTTTCACCTCTTTATTTTTAAAAGAGAGAGAAAACACAGGAAAGCCATAATACTTAGAAGAAGAAAAATAATGAAAATACCAAAACCAAACTATAAGAAGTCTGTTTTTTCAGTGCTCTGCTACTCTTAACGCCTGATTATAAACTAGAGCGGAACTACTCCAAGGTGTCTTTCTGTTTTGATTTTGGTCATTATTTTTAATGGTGTGGTTCCTTTTACCCAAAACATGACTTGTTCTTTCTGTTCTCAAGATTAGCATCTTTTTTCTCTTAATCTTTTATTCTTAATACACCAGAGGGGCTTCCTTTTGTTGTTTCCTCTTCTGCAATGCAAGTCTCTCCCATGAATAGCATGAGAAACTGTTAGGTCAGATAATAAACACATTGCTGCTTTTATTAATGAAGGAGAAATGTAATTCTACTGGTGTTGGCAACAACTATCCTTACAAACAAACTTTGGCTGAGCTCACATGAAGGTAAAAGATGTATATCCATATTCTTAGGCTCCCAAACAAAATCATCTTAATCAAAGAATTCTGCTTTTGCAGGAGAGGAAAGAACAGGATTTAGGTTGCAGAGCTCAGATTAGGATCATAAGGAACTTCATTAAGGCCTAAGGACGTCACACACTAAGCAGCTTTCCAGTCTCAAATCTGCCATTTTGAAAAAGATAATCAGCCTCCGCTGTATTTTTTTACTTCTGTGAAATGTCGGTGCTCATTCTTATTCACATGTAGTCTGTAGGTCTTGATTATTGCTTGATTAAAAAATATAGACTGTAAGAAGGGACCATCATTTATGTTGAAGTCATCTACCAAAATCAGCACATAGAGTGGATTTTCTTTATATAATTATCTTTCCAAAATATACAGCTTACAGCAAAAAGTAGAAAGATGCCTTGAAGATGGAATTCGTCTTCCCATGTTAGATGCAAAACAGCTTCAGAATGAAAATGATAACCTGAGAGAACAAAATGAGAATGCTAGTAAGGTCAGTTCATGTCTTTGATAATAAATATGAAATCTGTGTTCTGTTGGTTATCGGTGTATGGATATATAAGTTATAGCTATTTTATATTTTTGCTGATACTTAACAACAACTTTAGTTTGAATGTTTTTATTTAGAAAGAAAGTCTTTTTATTTTTTTAAAACGTACATTTAATGTGTGCATTAAACGTATGTTTAATGTGGAGGGGTAGAGGTGGGCAGAGAGAGAAAGGGAGAGAGAGAATCCTAAGCAGGCTCCATGCCTTCAGTGTGAAGCCTGATGCAGGGCTCAAACTTACAAACTGTGAGATCATGACCTGTAGCCAAAATAAAGAGTAAGGTGCCTAACTGACTGAGCCACCCAGGTACCCCTATTTAGTTTTTTTGAGAGTGAGAGAGCAGGGGAGAGGTAGAGAAGAGGAAAGAGAATCTTAAGGAAGCTCAATTCCCAGTGCAGAGCCTGATGGCAGGCTCAATATCATGTCCTTGAGATCATGACCCTGAATTAAAATCAAGAGTTGGATGCTTAATGACTGAGCCACTCAGGCTCCCCATGTTTTTTTAAGTATGTTCCACACTCAGTGTGGGGCTTGACCTCACAACTCAGAGATCTAGAGTCACATGTTCTACTGACTGAGCCAGCCAGTCTCCCCCAAAATGACAATTTAAGTAAATTTAAATAATTCAAATTTTAGTAAAAACCAAACTAAGGAGAACTTAAATTGCTTTTTAGCAAAACAAAAGGGTATATTTTCCTTCCTAAAGTATTCAATATCTGTCTCAAAGTTATTTTTATAAATTGCAGAGTTTTATCAAGAACTAGAGGAAGACGTGTACAGTTATATGTATGTGTGATCCAAATCGTATGTCTGTTTAAAGGATACTTGGTATGAATAATTTTGTAAAAAAAAAAATCATACCCTGATTTAGAAAAAATAAATTCATTATTTCCTGTGGTTTTTGTTGTTGTTGTTTTCTTGAACTATTGGTACTTTCTGAAAGTAGTAGAAAAAATTTCAATTAACACTGATAATATTTTCTGTATTTTAGATTATAGACAGCCAACAAGATGAGATTGAAAGAATGATTTTAGAAATTCAGGTAAGGAGTGTTTTGGGTATATTTTAATTTAGCTGTATACTAACTTACTCCTATGGCTGTATAAACTAAAAATATTAAAGCATATATGTATTTATATGAAAAGATCAATAGCACTTAAAGTGAAGTTACAAATTCTTTAATATTAATCTTTCACTTCTTTGGAATGAAAATGCCATTTGTTAAATCAGTCAAAAAATTGTGAAGATTGTTCTCTATTCCTTACCTTTCCTGCTTTTAATTGGGTGTAGTCTCCTACTGAGAACACATTTGGCTAATGTGTGATCAGGTTATCAGTGATCTACTTATTCAAGATCATGGACTATTTTCAGTCCATTGTGACTGGCCAACACTTCTCTTCCTTCTTATATTATTCCTTCTATATTATCAAAGTATAACATGTTCTTCACATATTTGTGGTTTTACCTCATGCTTAGTTTCTTAAGAGACTGTCGTAGCTCATTTACATATCTAGAGCTTAGAGTGTCTGATTCATAATACATAATCCAAAATTTGTGGATTAAATGAATTTTCATCTTTTTTTTTTATTGATTTGCCAAATACTTACTGAGCGCCTACATCTGTGTCAGGCACTGTTCTTGGCACTGGGGATTCATCAGTGAACAAAGCAAGTCCTGGCTATTCTAGTGGGGTGAATGGACAAAATGGACATATAATATAATGTGAAGGAGTGATATGTACCATTAGAAGAGTAGGGTAGAGAACAGTGATAGTGCTGCATTAATTACAGTAGTAATGAATTTTTTCCTGAAGAAGTAATATTTGTACAGAGTTCTAGATGAAGACAACCAGAGCATTTAGTGCCTGAAGGTGTCTGGTGTGCTCCAGGATCAGCAAAAAGACTGCTAGTCTGGAGTAGTGCAGTGGTTACGAGGAAGAGTCATGAGCGGTGATGGTGAAAAGTAGCCTGCGGCTAGATTACTTAGGGCTAGATGTCTTTGTATTTTATTCTGTGTATGATGAAAAGCCGTTGGACATATTTTGCTGAATAATTTTCTTATTTTTATACCTCCTAATTGTTTTACTTCTTAAAAAATGGAAGTAAAAAAATAAACAGATAAATGGTTTAAGTGTCAGAATTATAGATGGTATACTTTGTCTTTTGCGTATATTAGGTTGATTTATCATTTTAATAAAACACTAGGCCAGTTAGTTCAACAAGTGTGTGGGCCTGCTGGATTGGTTCACAGAGTTATACTCTTTCATCTGTATTCCTATAGACATAACTTCAGTTGTTCTACAAACCATTCAAATCATAAAATGTTTAGGTTCCTTCAGCCATTATTATCTGATTTATTATAGGCCATAATAAAAGGAATTTATATTTCACTTGGTAACATTTTCCAAGAAATCAAGTAAAAGTTATCTCAGTCCAAATTAAGGACACTGAGCATTGTCCTTTGACACTGAAATTTTGGTGGCTAAGACTTGTAAGAGTTTATTCATCACATACTATCTCACATTATATATATTCAAGATATATTCATTGAAATATGCCTTTTCCTTATTTGTGGTGGCATCTTAAAACAATTTATTCTTACATAGCAACCAAGTCTTTTAGTCACATTTAAATGTCATGACCATATATAAATGAATGTGTAGAAAAATATGTAATTATATGGCACTCTATTCTTTGATCTTAAAATGCTTGAGTAAACATTTATTTTTTTAAACTAATTTATGAATAGAAATCAAATTACTGAGATGCATTTATTTCCAGATATTGGGGGCCAGACAATATACTCATTAATTCTATTGTCTTCTCTTTTGAAGCAATGAGTAAGTCATTCTGGCCATCTAGATCAGTAGCTCTAGTATATAATGGGCTAAGAAAGACAGATAGCAAATGTTGATGACTGTCCAATGCAGCTATATATATCAACATACTTAAATAGAAAATTATAGAGGATGACAAATATGCTTAAAATGATGAGAAAATTTTTTGTCTTGTGTTCCTTGTTAAAACTTTTTAGTTTTTATTCTCTTATAGTTAAAAATGCTAGTTTTTTTATTTGGTGGTTTGTGATGAGTATAAAAGATGTGTACTCTGTGAACATTTAAAATATTTCTTATTCCAAAAAAAATGGATACTAGTTATTTCCCTAGCATTGGAAATCACAGAATCTTTTTTATTATTTTAAAAATATTTTTATTTATTTATTTATTTTTGAGACTGAGAGAACACAAGTGTGAGAGAGTGGCAGAGAGAGAGGGAGACAAAGAATCTGAAGCAGGCTCTAGTCTCTAAGCTGTCAGCTCAGAGTCTCATGTGGGGCTTGAACCCATGAACCATGAGATCATGACCTGAGCTGAAGTGAAGAGTTGGTCCCTTAAGCCAACCAGGCGCCCTGCCCTGAATTATGCATTAAGCTATCAGTACAGTATTAAATTTATCATAAAATTTCACTGCTGTTGTAATTTGCATATTCTTTGTTCCTCCACAATGCCAGGGAGTTCTTCCATTTTAGAGCGTTTAGTAGACAAAACCAATGTAGTATTACTAGAATTTCATGTTTTACTACTTCTTTATGTCCCTGCAAACTACTGAGATAACCAAATTTGTTCAAATTTCACATGTCTGACTTTTGGAGTATCGCATTGCCTTGGGTATAAGCAGGTTATTCTTACAGTTTAAATTTTATGGCAAAAGAGAAAAATGAAATCCCTTGCCAGTTCATTTTATGTCCAGTTTGTAGGAGATAAAAATAAGGTATTGTTACAGAGTTCTATATTTAAAATACAGCTGTGGTTTACCACCATGTACCTGGAATCAAATAAATACATAACTGGTTTAGGTCAGTAGCAGATTTATTGATTCTGATGTTGAGGAGAAATCAGTCTCCTACTATTTTTATCTGTTGTTGAATGTAGAAAGGTAATACTTTATGTAAAAATATACTGATTTTGAAACTGAGTTTAGTGCTATAAAAATAGATTTATCTACTGTTTTGTTCACCTGTCAAGATGATATCGGTAACTGGCATGAGTTAACTTGTTTATTCATTGATCCACTGATCCTTTAGAAATAATGCCTTTGTTTACATTTATGAAATCAATATAGCTAAACTGGCTTCTTCCTCTACAAGTTTTTCTTCTATCATTATACAATATAAAAAGATATTTTGTAATAGAACATTTCCCCTCATTTCCATAAATGTGACTTCAGTTTGAATGTGAATTAGTTCTTCATTGGACATTGCCTTCCCTCCTATTTATTCCTTAAAAGCACATTTCACCTGCATAAATAATCCTGTTTCCAGTGAGCTGTTATCATTTTGTGTAACTATTTTAAGCTTTTGGCAGAGGAGTTACGGAATAAAAAAGTTTGTTAGGTATACTTGTTTTTCCTAGCATACTAAAATTGTTTCTTCATTGAAAGAATTTTTGCATTTAAATTGACTTTCTGAGTTGACATCTATCAACAAACATAATATCATAAAAGATACAGTGATGCTTTAAGGTCCCTTAAGACTGTTCACTTTTAAAGGCATGGTTGGAACCACCAATCAATCTCAAAACTGTAACAGTCTGTCCTATTTATAACACTTCAAGAGAAGATGTTTTCAGAGCCTCCAAAGATTTTATTCCAGTTTTTAGCACATCTCTATATACATGCAGTGAGACTCAGGAAAATGCATAAGAATATCACAGCAGCCAAAAACTGGAAACAAATTAAATGTCCATCCCACGAAAATAGATAAATTGTGGTATATTCATACAAGGGATTGTTCAATAAAAAGTAATGAACAGCAAAAACAATAAAAATTAAAAAAATAAATAAAACTTTCTCTTCCATGTTTATATTTTTAAAGTGAACAGTCCTTAATGTACGCACAGGCCTGTCATATGTACATTATAGTTGTTGTTTAATTAAAATGTTAAAAAATATAATAGGTGGTTGTAACTTGTAAAAAATTCTTTGTGTCTAAGGTGGAGAATTCTGAGGCAGAAAGAGAGCTCATTTGAATCAAGAAAGAATGTTCTTGAGCTTGTTGTGTGCTATGAGTGGTCACCAAAGCTGTATGAACATTCAAATTATTTAGGTCCCTGGACCCCAGTGGGAACCTGATGACTCAGTATCTCTGAGGTAAACCCGAGACAGTTCTTCCTTGGCCTGGCAGCGTCCTCATCTGGGTGCCAGTAGGAAGTGTGGTCACCATCCTCGGGGTGACTGGGAAGACCAGGGCAGACGTAGTTCTGAGAGACCTGGATGTATTCTGAGCACATTTAAGCTGCTTTCGTAGTTCTTGCTTATAAGCCTAAAAGCAGATCGAGAGCTGAAAAGAAGTGGAACCTGGGCAGGTTGTTTTTTCTTTATATTTTGTTGATTTTTAAATAACAGCTTTATTGAGATAGAATTCACATTGCCTGCAATTCACCCATTTGAGTATAATTCAGTAATATTTAGTATGCTCAGATATATGGAACCAAGACCTCAGTCAATTCTGGAACCTTTTTATCACCTCATAAACCCCTTACCCTTTAGCTGTCACTGTCTCAAACCCTGGTCCCCCCCCCCTCCATTGCAATCACGAATCTACTTCCTGTCTTAATAGATTTGCCTGTTCTAGACATCTCATGTAAATGTAATATGTGATCTTTTGTGACTCTTGCCCTGACCACACCAGCAAGATTAATTGCCAGCTGATACTCTGTTTCCTCTTTTGCTTTCAGTAATGTCATGTGGTATAAATTGTTTCACAGACATGTGTATTCTGGTTCCTTTGAAGGAAGAGCTCCTTAGGTTAATGTTTGAGATTTTTTTTTGTTCCCAGGAGTGCTTTTCCCAAGTGTTTCTTTCACTTTTTCTCTGGAAGAATCTAGCCAGCCAGTAGTAGCCTGTACCTTCAATGAATCTAACAGTTTCCTCCCAACTCCTTTTGCCACAACCCCCACTGATTTTGAGAGTGCCCTTAGGCCTGCACTTCACAGGCGGCTACAGTTGATTTCAGTTCCTTTAGGGAGACATTTAGAGCGCCCTA